GTAGCCCCATAGGCAATCGATTGAATTGAAATAGGCCTCCTGGTGTCCGGAAAGCGGTCTTTGGTTTCGATTCCTCATCGAGGGGCAATTGCCAAAATCCTGAGAGCAGGTCAAGCGTTGAAAAAAACTGTGCTCCCGCCAAGGCATCCAGCGACTCATCCATCCTTGGGAGTGGATACGCGTCGGCCATCGATATTTTATTTAGGCGGCGAAAATCCACACAAAATCGCAAGGACCCGTCGTGTTTTTTAACAAGGACAATGGGAGCACCTTACGGACTGGAAGAGGGTGAAATGATGTCGGCAGCCAACATGTCATTAACAGCCGACTGTACATGTTCCTTCTCGGCTGGGCTGAGCCGGAAGGGGTTTTGCCGAATTGGAGCCGCGTCACCCATATCTATGTGGTGGCGCAACAAGTCCGTGCAGCCAATATCGTACTTGTGTCTGCTAAACACATCAGCGAATTCAAGTAGCAGGCCCCTCAACGCTCCCAACTGCGCACTCGACAAGTTAGCAGACCCAGCACACAACGAGTCCAACCATTCATTCTCCTCCTCTGATGGAGGATGCGTATAGGGGCTAAAATTCGCAGTGCGCAACGAACTGTTCCTCTACGGGTAGCGGCGCCGCGTGAGCCAGCACCGTGCCCTGTGTGATGACAGCTGGCCGCGACCCCGTATTCAATACCATAACAAATGGATCCCTGTCTGCCCGCACTATGGTCTGGGCTACCGCTAGGTCGAGGCCCCCAACAGCTCTGTTTGACGGCCCCAACAGAACACCTTGTTCCCCCCGTATTTACTCCGAGGGGTTTCCGAAATCGAAGGGTACCAACATTTGCGATCCCGGGGGCACCCACACAGTCTGAGTTGCCAGCGCCTGAACCGTTGCACAAACTGTACGTATTTTGGTAGGATTAGTCAAAAATGCAACGCGGCGACCAGATGGAAGCTCGATACAGGCCTGATCAACGAGAATTTTAATGGGCATTTTAGCCAGAAAGTCCGTGCCCAGTAAGCAAGGAACTGCCAGGGATGATGAGACAAAAATAGGACCCGCCAATTTGATATCGCCAATACAAATAGTCGCCCGGATCTGTCCGATAATTCCCAACGATCCCCCATTCGCCGCGTAAAATGGTACGTCCACCGGAAGAAGAGGTCGACTTTGGACGGGAAGGATGTTATAAATAAGGTCCGAAATGATAGTGGCCGACGCACCCGTGTCCACCAGCACTCGGACCTCAACCCCGTCAATAAACCCCGTTACAACGGACGACCCGGCCGATGCAGCCACTATTCTGTGGGCCAACTCAGACCATTCGACTGCTCCCGGGCCGTGTACGAACCCCCCTCGCCGAACCGAATCCCCGGGCCCCTTATGTGGTCCCCCCACCGCGAAGCGGCGATCCGAGTGTGCCCTGTACGTGGACCGAGCGTGTGTTGTGCCGCGACTTGCCGGGTTTAGCTGGGACGACTTTGGGCCTTGGTCGTCGTCCGGACACGGTCCTGTGGCACGCTGACGTGGAGCCCGGCACCCGGCAGCGACGTAGCCCCGAAGGCCGCAGTTGTAGCACATGACGAGGGACGTCATAGGTTTCGGTTGCTCCAGCTTGCGGGACGATCGTATAGGTGAACGACCTCCCGATCTCCACTCCCCCGGTCTCGAAACGGTGAAGGCCTCCTCCTGAGTCGTAGCAGTCTGAGGGTCGGCGACAGTCGCGGCAGGAGTCGCGATCCCCGCCGATGCACAGACGACCGTCCGCTTGCGCTTGAGAACCTCGTGTGCGTGGATGCTTGTTGCAACCCCCAAGGAGCAGATGTCCATTTCGTCCGCCGTATTGATGGGGACTCCCAGGCCGTGAGCCAACGCCAGCAGCTGTTCTGTCACCATGGCGTCCTTCTCCTCCTTGTCCATGCGGGGAAAAGCGACGTCCGCCAGGGCGAGCAGTGACGTGCGATAGGCGAGTGTAGTTTCTCCCTCCATCTTTCGCCGTTCGTAGAACTGGTGGCGACAGGTGGAGGGCGGTCTGAACACCTTAGCCATGAGGTGAAGCGCGGCCTGGAGCGTTGAGCGGGACGACCTCGGGGCGGATGTGAAGGCCGCGAGTGCGTCGTCGTCGAGCATCGCCGGCAGCGCGCGTAAGGCAGTATTGTCGGACCACCCCGACATCTCTTGATGTGCGAGGAACCTTCGTTGGAAGGCCCCCCAGTCGCCCCCGTCCGCCTTGAACGCCGTCAGCGCGGGAAGTCTTTGTTGGAAGACCTGGTCGTCGTCCTCCGATGAACGTTTTTCCCGCGCGCCACTGTGGTTGACTAAAATGGCGGCTCCGTCAGCAGGCGCATGATGGAGAGTTTTGGCGCGCGCCGATGACGCGGGCTGTGTCGAGTGGAGGTCCCCGACCACGTGGTGTCCACATTTCCCGCCAATCGATGGCGGACCATCAAATTTGGCGCCAATTTCAAAAATTTCAGAGCGAAGCGCGTCCTGGCGGGATTCCTCGGGCCGCGCTCCCTCCTCCAACCTTGATGTCGTTTTCCCGCCTCCAGAAGCGGTGATTTATGCCAAGATGGAAGCGGCAGCAAGCAGCAACTCCGCCAGACGGGAGTGTGCGTCCTGGAGGCCGGTGTCGGAGGTGAGTGGAGCTTCGGCCATCGCCGCGAAGTGCTGCAGCGGCGGCATCTCTTCGTCCTCGCCTCCCGAGGCTTGCGGTTCAGGTACATCGTCGTCCTCCCAATCTTGCGCGTGCGTATGGGTGGCCTTCCTGGTATCCATCCTTTTGAAGACAGGTTTACTTCTGACGCCAGTTGTAAAGTATGAACTTGGCGGGAGACGACTTCACGGGTTGCACACCTCTTTATTAACGTCAACTTCTCTTTACACGGGTGGCTAAGTACAGCTTGACACACAAGGCTCCCTAACTTCTCTTTACCCGGGTGGCTAAGTACAGCCTGACACATAGAGCTCCCTAGGCTACACCCTCACGGGCTCTTACGCCCCGTAGCTCTTGGAACCCACCTAACCGGGGTATCCGTCTCGACTCTGGGTCCCACAGCCTCGTCCCACATGGACGTCAGACCACGGGTCCCACAGCCTCGCCTCCGAACCACACAGCGTCCTGGCCCTTATAAGGACCGCGGGACCAGGGGTTTCGGGGCCCTATCTCTTCAGCTTCGTCTTCGATCTTCAACTGGTTATCAACTCCCCGAGTGCTCCCTCGCGTCCTCCTTTATAGCCCTAAATGCGGACGTCGTTGAGAGCACCCACCCCAGTTGGCCAATCACTGCGTACTCTCTACGATCCTCTTTCCCACATGATGTCAGCGCGCACAACCACGCACCTCGCGCCGCCCCGTGATCCATCACTGTCGGCGCGTGTCAACACCACCCCTCTTGACGTAGCCACGCCCGGCGCGCTCATACGCACGCCGCCCCTTTTGTCAGCACGTACCACCACTACATAGACACAGACACAATTTCAACCGAGATGACGGCTTTAAACTCAGCAATCATTGGAAAGATGTCATCAACCACTTTGGGTCATGACTTGATTTGTGTCTTCTTGTCAACCTCTACCTTCAGCAGTGTGGATGGGTGTATCGAGGTGCAATGCCCCCCCTCATCTCTACCCCCCCTCCTCCCCCTATCTCTGCCGTACACCCTCTCCCTCCTCCTGTCTCTGTCCCCTTCCTCCCCCCCCCCCATTGTCTGCTCCTACATTACTGGCTGCCCCACCCATGCTGTTTGCTCTGCATATGCTCACCTCCACCCAAGCATGCCGCTTACGTAGCTAGTGTTGCTTGTGTAGTAAGGTTCCCGGAGACTTGACAACGTAGTTGGAGGCACACGCTTCTTTATTAACACCAGCACGTAACAGGCAAGCTTACAGTACTCGAAGGAGTATCGGCCCCTTCACCCGTCTACGCTACGGAACACAACAGCCTGACTCACAGCTAGCTTACAGCGAGGTTACGGCACCCTGAATACCCAGACCGGCTCTTAGAAGAGCGTCGGTTCTGGGCTCTTGGGGCCACGCCGCTGGCTTGCCTGGTCGGCCCTTAAAAAGGCAGCGATCCCAGGGAGTTCCAGGGCCTGTCTAGCTGGTCTTCTTTCTTCACTGGTTACAGATTAACACTAGACCCCGAGCCGTCTGGCTCGCCGCCTTAAATAGCCATTCCCCCCTTGAGGGGTGGGCTGTGGGGGATCCCAGCTCCGCAATAGCCCCTCAGGATAACAACGCGGACGTCGCAGTAAACACCTTCTTCGCGTACCGATGTAGCCACGCCCATTGTGTTTGTTTGCCATCCGCGGCAAGTCTAAATCCGGCCGTCTACAACTGCTCTACACTTGCACAGCTCTTTTCCCTGCCCACTCACTTTGAAGCCCTTATAAGCAGCTACATTTGGAGGCTTGCCCCCCTTTTCTCTCTGCCTGATGAAGACCGCTTGTGTTGCGATCGAAACGTCGTGTGTTTTTTTTTTTGCTTTTATTATTTTCAATTCATAATTTTCATTTTAACGTTTGTTTCTATTTACGTGACTTTACCGAAAGAAGAATACCATACTGTTGTTTATGTATCTTTATTCTTATCTTAGAGAACTGGTCCTTGACTCATGCTGTCCAATCTTGAAGTTATTCGTGTCGCGTACCATCCCTTAAAGTGGCATCGCAGCATCTTTGTATCTTTGCCTCTTTCACTCCATCTGGACTTCCGTAACAAGGTCTGGAGTCCCAGACCCTTGGCCCATGTGGTTCTATGCTCACTTGCACCATTATGGGGAGCTGTTTGACTACACACTTTAGCAACTCTACATTCATGTATCTTTGCCTCCCACCCCCTGTGCTGTGCAAACGTATAGGAACCCGAGTTTACATCAACATCTACTGCTTGCACAGAAACCCAGAGTTCTGGAAGGACCCAGAGGTTTGTCTCCAACCTCCAAGTGTGCACGCTGCTTCATTGAACTATCGCAGTGTCGCATGTGTGAACTGCACTCACCTGGCCTCTGCATTTGGCCTCCACGTGCAGATTCAATACATTCGTAGCCCCTACGTGAAGATTGTTTTGTCCGTGTTCACATTCCTTCCAGGCTGAAACAAATATAGGCAGAGCATGACAATTTTAGGATATTTTAATGATTTAGAATAACAAATTTTAAACTTAATCGATTTGAAACTTAATCCCCACTTACAGAGTTATTGAAAATAGTATGAATATTGACTTTTAAGGAAGTAGGCTTGGGTCTGAAAAATGTATTGCCCGATTAATGAAACTAGTGATGGAATGACAGCCAAAGGAGAAAACGTCGTGATGCAGCTCAGCGGTAGCGCGTTTGCCGCTTGTTGCATAAGTATTTTTTTTGTTTAGTATGTTATCCTTCCACGCACGTCCGATTAGCACGATTGACTATGTACGGTGCGAAAGAAGTTTAACATACATACAGCATTCAAATCAAGCGGCCGTCCTGATTAATACTGCATGTGTATGAAATGTATGTATGTTGAACTTCTGTCGTACTGTACCTAGACAGCCGTGCTAATTGGAGGTGCGGGGGAAGGACAGCAAACTAAACACAAGAAACTGTTCTAAAAAATTATTTTCAATCTAGATTTAAAAGAAAGAGCGTTCCAGACGGCCGCAGAAGCGCATTTGTATGCACGTCATGCAGTGGTGATACAAAAGCCACTGCGAATGTGACCAGAGTTTGCATGATGGTTTATGCTCCTTGAGATCAACAGAATATTGTGGTTCATTTGTGGCAAGCACTTTGTGTGTAATGCATGCGATCTTATTTGTATTTGGTCAGCAACTGGAAGCCAATGCAGCGCAGCGAGCACCGGACCAACATTGTTGGATTTTACAGTGCCCGTCACGACACATGGCAAAGAATATTGTACACGTAGCTTGCTAATGTTTTTGTCAGACATCCCGTAGAGTAGTGAGTTGCGATAATCAAGCCTCGCAAATACTATGTGTAACGATTCGGGATAGTTGCAGGGTTTATGGGGAGTGTGATTCCTTGGGGAGGGATGTAACACACCAGGTGGGTTGGTCGTTTTGCCACTCTTTTTTCGGTGATACTTTCATGCACACTTATAGGCAGAACCCCACAAGTATTGTCTGACTTGTGTGCTCTATATGGAACTAAATGAAGAAAAGGGACCCGTTTTTACACACAACGCACCCGAACTACTCCATCACCCTTATACACCCACCAGCACGCCCGTTTATAGGGTCTCACGGTCCTGTGTGTCCTAGCCGGCCTGTAGCAATATGCAAAGCTTTTCGTGCCTTCTTTAGGGTGGTGTCTCCACAGTCTAACAGTAGGTAGAGCACTGGTGGCTCCCTTGGTGTGGTGTGTCCACAGTGCAGCTATAGACAGAGCAGGTGGCTCCCTTGGTGTGATGTTTCCCCACCAACAGCACGCAGAGCCCTGCTGTCTCTTCTTGGTGTGGTGCCTCGACACTCCCGCGGTGGGTAGAGGCTTCCAGCTCCTGGCTGCTGCTGCTATTTTCTGGCCCCACTTCTCCTCACGTCAAGTGCCTCCAAACCCCTTCTTTATTTCCCCTTTCATGGCAGTAAAATTTGCATAATTGGGCTTCCCCACACTCATACTCCTAAAATCGGTCACATCAGCTATAACTGCCACAGACGGAAGCCAGGGGTGTGACCCTCAACTTTCGCCTCGTCACTATGCTACACGCTACCGTGTTGGCGATGTCACGACTAAATATTGACTGAATGTGTCGTAGAACCCCGATATGAAAATTCCTGGACCTGACCTGACTATATTTTGCACTTGGTGATCTAAAGACATAATCTGGTCGAGTATGATGCGGAGGAAAACTGAATCCTGGAGTCTGCGACCACCACTCCTGATCGTCTCACAATTGTTTTCACCTGAGCCCGAGTGCCAACCAGCAGAACCTCCGAGTTTCCTGGATTAAGCATCATTTCATTTTGTGCAAACCACATGTGTACTGCTCGCGTCCATTTATAGAGATTATCGATGCACTCTATATCTGACTTTAACTTAAATGTCGAGTCGATAATCGTTGATACGATAGTGGATCAATGCCGTCTTGTTGACTAGGGAGCTTGCATTTACAAATCCAAAGTTGAGCTTTGATCCACGCTTTGACTTGATACATCAGCAGCAATATTGCGATGAAGGCACTCTTTTGGGATCGTGTGGATGTAGGGTGGAAGAAGAACTGACCAGATCTGCAGCATAATAATGTGGGATGCATTGTAACAAGTGACGAGCACGGTCAGGTAGGGGTCGCCATTTCCACAGCAGATCGTAGCACAGTGGGTGTTGAACTCGAATCGTTTGACTTGAAAAGTCGACCAATCAGCACTCTCTTCTCCTGGTGAGTGCCACTGCAGTACTGGAGACATTTGGGTGAGACCGAATTTGTTTGCCGATCCATGCGAAGAGAAGTTATCGGCATGGTCCCCCATTCTCTAGGGAAGAGGGGAAGCAGTACTTGTTCGCAATGCTTGGCTCGCTCAGCTGAAGTCCCGCAAGCGTGGGGCCTGGCCGCAAGCACCCGGGCAGCAGCAGAATTGGGGTTGGGCACTTCACTACACACCTGATGACCTGGGTTAGATTCCTGGCCGCATCAAGTCATCAAGTCAACTCAGCCGTAAATAAATGGCCAGTGTTGTGTTATCAGCAGCACTTGGGTGGGTAAAGGTAGCAGGGCATGCTGCTGGCCACGGAACCCCCTCTTGTGCCAGGCTGGCCTAATCAGGTGCTGGCTAAACAGTATTTGCCAACTTGCCTCACCTACAATTTCAGTATTAACTCCAGTATTAACTCCTAGTTTCAGTAAACTTAAGAGACCTGGGCCCCCCTCAGGTTTACTGATGGCAATTCTACCGTGCGTGTGTCGGCGTCAAACCTGGGAAACTTACGTAATAAACGAGACAACAGACTATTCACCTGCAGCAAACATACTGGCAGACAGTCAAGTAAGTAGGTCAATGCCTCCCATTGATGCAGAGAGGCCTCCACAGTGAGTGGTCCAGAAGCCAGGTTCAGAGGGATTGGAAGTGGAGGTTCAAACTGGCGGGAAGCAAAGGTTGAGCATTGAGGTGACGGTTGACAACCGTTGAGGGAAGAACGACGATGATTGGCCGAGACGGGTGTGGAGTGTGAGGGAAGCTTCGAGAGAAGGGGCTCGAAAGGTTTAAAAGGGGAGAGCACAAGGGGAGGGTACGAGCTTAAAGAGACAGGCAAAGTAGCCAGGGCTAGTGTTGTGTCAAATCAAAGATGCTGTGTCAAATCAAAGGCTCCCGAGTGCAACATGTGAACCTTATGGCGGTACCCCAGGGCACAGCTCTCACACAATGTCCATGATGCAGTCATTTTCAGTCTGTCGATGGTCAGCGATGCGGCAATCGACTCATCTCGACGAGCTGTACGCGATGCACTATTTAAAGTATGGTTTTTCGATAACGAATTTTTTTATGCTGTTTGGCGTTTCGACATCGTGGAGTAGCACTGATTTCGGATTGATTGGTACCCCAGTCGCGGAGTTAATTACACCCCTGGAAAAAATAGTGTTCCAGAAATAAAATGTGTAATTGCCTCGGCCCATTTTGTATTATTTGGTACCCCGGGGTACCGCCATAAGGATCATGTGTCAGCATCCTAACACTTAGATGGCTGGGAATGGAGCTCTGTACCAACCCGCTGTTAACTTAATAATAGGTGCTCGCTAAGACAACTTTGCCCAGCCGGGTAATGGAGATGGAGGTGGCTGATCAGTGTGTGCGTACGCATGCACATAAAGTAACTTGATGTGTAAATATATAATTTGACTTGCCTGTGCATCTGCCCGCAGGTTTATGACCCTCTGAGATTTTCTCCTGAAAATGCAGCCAATCGCCACCCCTACGCGTTCATCCCCTTCTCGGCCGGGCCCCGGTGAGCGTTAAACCCTCCTGCTCACCGCCACCATCTCCACAGGCAAACTCGGGCCGTTACTACACAAAATATGAAGCCCCACGACGCGATCAGACTGCAAGTGACATGGGGGGGAGGCGAGCGACTGGGCAGTGGTTAACGCATTGCACACAAACCCAGAAACCCAAGTTTGATTCCCGAACACGAATAAAATAATTGGCAATACATACCTGTCCCCTTTTCCTCTTCACCAACCCACGTTGGCTAGTTTGTTGAAGTATACACATATATAATAGCCCAGATCTCTCCTTCTGTGACTGTGATTAACGCCCCTGGATTGGTTGAAGTGCATCACGTGACTGCGAGCCAGCAGCCAACCAGAGGTGCGCCCCTCCCAAACATGTACGCAATAACGGAAAGGTGACGTTCGATCCCCTCACACACGGCTCACTAATACACACAACGCACTCACACAATCGCATGCACCTCAGAGGAGACGGGTGAGTCAGAGTGAGGAAGCTGACGGTCGATCCAGTCACACACGGCTCACTCACACAGCTCACTCACACTCACTCACACACAATCGCATGCAGCTCAGAGGAGACGAGTGAGGCAGAGGCGTGCTCCGTCCACTGCTGCCCTGAGGGACTCTCGTGCTCTCCACTGCTGGCTTGAGGGAGAGCTGCGCTCTCTCCACTGCTGCCCTGAGGCAGAGCCGTGCTCGCTCCGCTGCTGCCCTGAGGGAGAGCCGTGCTCTCTCCACTGATACCCTGAGGGAGACTCGTGCTCTATCCACTGCTGCCCTGAGGGAGAGCCGTGCTCTGTTCACTACATTAGTACTCGAGGTTTTTTGGTACTTAAATCCACTGCTGGATGAAGGCCCACCGCACGCTGTGCGAGTGGATCGTAAGGATTTACTTGACCAGTCTGTTGGGGGCCGCCACACGCTGTGGTTGTTGGGGGGTGCCGCAGGCTGTGGTTGTTGGGGGGTGCCGCAGGCTGTGGTTGTTGGGGGGTGCCGCAGGCTGTGGTTGTTGGGGGATGCCGCAGACTGTGGTTGTTCAGGGCCGCGGCAAGCTGTGGTTGTTCGGGGCCGCCGCAGGCTGTGGTTGTTCGGGGACGTTGTTAAATAACTCCCCCACTCCAATGAAGCCTTCATCCGACAGTTGATTAAAA